ATATGTCACGGAGAGTGTGCGATGGAATTACGTGGTTTAATTCCGCCCTCCCCTTTCCATCGTCGGGGGACCAGATGTAGGCTTGGGTACCACCCCTATGTTGCGGATATTCCAAAGATTCGCACGAAGCGTTACGCTTCCACATTTATATGGCGAACGGCTATGGAGTGGAATTCCCTGTCTGCAGACTTGTTCCCTGAACATTATAACTTGGGCCTTTTCAAGGCGAGAGTGAATAGGCATTATTTAGGTGTGCATGCTCCATCGTGAACCTCATTGTCACTTTCTGTCAGTCAGAGAGATGGAGGTCAAATGCGCACTTACAATTTATTTGAAAAAAAATTACATTTGTTTTTAGTGCAAATTTTAGTTGTTTCATTGACCCCAAGCGAGAAATGTTTTCTTCAGAATAAAGACCCTGCTCTGTAACAGACGACTTAATATCGGACTCCGCGCTCGACTGGCTCATTGTTACTTCTTCATTCTCTTATACGGAGCACAAGCTTGGACTAACCTAACCTTGAATTGTTTTACTACGTAAAGGCATTTTGAGCACCCCACGTTGCCTGATGAAACGTGACCGTTTTCATAGGTCTTGTTATTTATGTTTATGAGTCCATGCTGGTAACCTATCACAAACTAGAATTTCTTTTTTCCGAATTTCATTGCTCCGAAAACGGTTCGACGTTTTTTCATTAGTGCGATGCCAGTTTTGGTATAAATTTGCAACATAGAAATGTCTTACAGCAGAAGTATCGTTTGTCCGAATGAGCGTAGCGAGCGTGCCGCGGCAGCGGCCGGCGAGTGCCAGAGCCGAATTTGTTTCCATTACCTAGACGGTACGACCCCTTCATGTAGATTTAGGTAAGGGTAGTATATGAAAAAGCAGCACGATCCGAACGAGCAAAGCGAGCGACTACAAGTCGATCAAATTAACTTGCATCTAGTTTACCATATTCTATAAAGATACGAGGTGTTTTAATTTGACGTGTTGTATTGTGCGACACGTTCTAATGCTTTTAATATCTGTAATAAGAAATAATATAACAAAAATGTATCATGGATATCGTTTTTTTGCAAAATAAAAATACTCGATTAAATACATTGGTCAAACAGTTTGTTGGGGAAATAAAAAACGGGAAAAGAATAACTTGTCAATATGTCAAAATAGTGAAACATTAATAAATGGTGTCATGAAAGAAATCGTAACTTGTTTTCGGACAAATGAAACAAAATCTATTCAATAAAAATCTTAAGGTTTTCGGAGAAACAAAATTCTGTAAATCATGTTTCTAGCTTGTGATAGGTAACCGTCTATGCTACCTCAAATGGCTGTATCAGAAATAGTGTAGATTCCCTGGTAAAATAAAAATGGCCCAAATAGCCCAAATGAGTTACCTAACGAGTAATGTATGCATCAAAATCGCCGTTACGACTAAATGACTCCACGTTTTGATATAAATCCCCAACCAATATGAAATACGTGGAAAACATTGAAAAATTGACCTTACTTTAATCGAGATACGGTGAGTTTGAATTGCGTGGATAATTTGACGTTATGACATACAATATCACGTAGCTTTCAAACGTGAATACCTATACTACGTTTTTATTAACCGACTTCAAAAAAGGAGGAGGTTCTCAATTCGACTGTATGTTCTTTTTTTTTGTATGTATGTTACGCGATAACTCCGGTATTTGTGAACCGATTTTCATTATTCTTTTTTTGTTGGAAAGGGGGTACTTCCATAGTGGTCCCATTTCATTTTGAAGGAAATCATCCACCTCTAAGGGTGGCTGTTCACGCATGAAGATTCATTTTTATAAATAGCGCCTAACTTTAATTTAGGAGCAATTACTTTTAGCAATTATTTAGTTGATTTTGCTATTTATCCAACTCAAGGCGTTTTTCCCTCGATATACTTTGAGTAGTGTCGTAGTGAGAACCGATTTTTATTATCTCCAGTGTCAAGTCCTGTATAGTGGCGAACTAGGGGATATTTCAATAAAACTTAGCAAATAGACGTAATTCCACGTACTTTTGAGGTCGGTTTTTTTTAGTACTCTATACTGAGATTATATTTAATATGTCTACTTTTTTATACGAATAATATTATTCGTTGGTCGAAACATATTAGAATAAGAATCGAGTGGGAAAATCGTCATTTCTCAATTAAGAGTCGATTCAACCACAAATGGGTTTGTTTGATTTCGCATAACAGTGAAACTGTTGCATCTATCACTTTGGAAAAAACTATATAGTAAAATTGAGAATATACACTGAATATTACTATATAGTGTGAAAACACGATTCCCAAAAATTTTTACGATAGAAAAAAAACGCAAACTTACTCGAAATTTTACAAGAAAACCGTTGTATTTAATAGGAACTTTACAAATACCAATGATTTTTTTTAACAGCTGAACTAAATAGTACACGTACACTATACGATATAAATTTTTCAAGTGGCTTCAATTTCGTTTGTAAGAAAATAAATTCTAAAATAAAGCTAGTGTCTGCCGCAAGCAAAATGCACCGTATTGGTACGGGAAAAAAATTCATTCGAGCTGAGGTAATACGGACTCTAGTCGCTTCAAATTGGTATGTATTCGTGCAAACGAAGCTACAATGCATTACTACATCCAAAGGTCGTGATACGCTGCCGGACGTTGGTTAGCTACTGCCTTTTAAGAGGGAGCAGAGGAAAAATTCCTAATCTTCGATTTGATTTTAGAGGGGTATATCCACTTTAAAGTTAAAAATAAAATATTGTATGAGTAACTACACGATATATTCAAG